AAGACGGAAGACCGAAAGAAATGGATGTTATATTTACAAACACTGCAAAGATACCTTCATTTTATCGAAGAAGATCGTCAACCACTCAGATTACCAATTTATTCTGATACATCTAATGAAGATTCAAATAAGAGTAAAATTGATTTTAAAAATAAAGATAGAGATCTAAAAACTTCAGTTGATGCTGAATCTTTGTTGGAGGAGAATCGATCCACTAAAAGTAAAGAAAATGATGAAAGTCCACTTTACACACCAGCTCAAATACTCAGTTTAATACCAAAAACTTATAATAAAAAGGGACAGTTATTATTAAACTTAGTTGAAACAAGTAAAAATAAAATACATTGGGATAATGAAGGTACAGTCATAATTGATAATGAAAGAATTCCTGGAAGTAATATTGTTGATTTAATAAATGATTCACTAAGACCCTTAAAAAGAAGTGATCCAGTAGGGTGGGATAGATTTCATGAAGCATTAAAAGATGTTAAAGTACCACTTACTTATATTAGAAATCCAAAGAGATGTGAGTTTATTAACCAACTTCAAGCAAAAGATCTGAACAAACCCTCTGAGATTGAAGTTCAAGACTTTTTTACAACGAGTAGAGGAGATACAAAATCTATAACTAAAATAGAGTTTTCTACACCGAGCAGTAGAGATAAAAAGTCTACAACTAAAATACGTAAAAGGCTTGAGTGGGAAAAATGAATCACGTACTAGAAGAAATTAACAGGATTTATTATGATCCACCTAATCCCGCTTGTTTTGGTAGTATTGATTAATTATCAAAAGCTATGAAGGGTAAAATGAATAAAAAAGCAAGTAAAGGAATGGTTAAAATCACAAGAAACATACACATTACATAAACCCATTCGAAAAAAAACCCCGCGTAATAGGTACATTCTATCAAATATTAATGAACTGTGGCAAGCTGATTTAAGTGATATGTGAACTTATTCTCAATATAATGATGGTTTCAAGTATATACTTTGTGTTATTGATGTATTTAGTAAATATGCTTTTGCAAGACCAATGAAAAAGAAAAACTCAGAAACAACTAAAGAATGTTTTGAAAGATGTACAAAAAATACTTTAAATCCAAAAATATTAATTACTATACCACGAACAATCCTGACATTAAGGCCAGTATTGTTGAAAGATTTCAAAGAACACTAAAAATGAAAATGTGGCGTTATTTCACTCATAATAATACTTATAGATATATAGATGTTTTACAAGATTTAATATACTCTTATAATCACAGATTTCACTCTAGTATTAAGATGTGCCCATGAGATGTAAATTCAAACAATATTATGACAGTTTGGACTAAACTTTATGATAGACGGTCAAACAAACTTTCTTCAGAAAATCCTAAACCAAATTTCAATGTGGGTGATTATGTTCGAATAACTAAATATAAACATGTTTTCCAAAAAGGATATGAATCAAATTGGAGTGATGAAATATTTATTATATCTTCAATAAATGATAGATCTCCATGGGTTGTTTATACAATAACAATGATTTACAAAATGAACCAATAATTGGTACTTTTTAAGAAAGAGAATTACAGAAAATCACTTACAACCCCACCTCACAATATAAAATAGATAAAATAATTGACATTCGTTATTCAGGTAACAGAAAAGAAGTACTAGTAGAATCACTTGTAAACAGTATGCCAAAGGTTACTGTCTATTAGCATTTGACTTAACTCCTGATTTATCAGCCAACTCATCAGCTCATTGGAATCTCATAAAGCATGGTAGTGTAAGATGAGAAGTACGATTTGAATCCTCACTAATACAAACAATTAACTTTATAGTTTATGCTGAGTTTGATAATATTATTGAGATAGATAAAAACAGAAATGTTACTGTTGTCTATAGTAGTTAAGGTTGTAATATGTGTTGTGTGTTAGATTTTATGAGTTATGTGTAATGCATTTTGTGTGTATGTAACTATGTAAATCGTTATAAAATTATATAAAACAAATTGTATACCATATATTATTTTTTATTTCTTTATAAATCTTCTATTTAATCTAATACAAAACACTGTTCGAGTTTAAAGTTACATCGGACTCTCTCATTAGATCATCAATAATAACAAGATGTGGGTTTTCACCATCAAACATATTAAGATTTGGAATTCCTTGATGATAGTTAACATTTGGTAAATTATATAAAGGTTGCATTTCATCAAAGCACCATGTGATCTGATTAAAATCGCAATTACATATTTCTGTAACTGATTTTATGAAATTTGTTATAAGATTTGACTTCCCACATCCACTTGGTCCTGCTACAATAGCAGTAAACGGATGTATAAAGTGAAACATTACACATGTCTAAAGTTCTAAGGGGTAAAATAAAAAATGAAAGTGTTGGTGTAAACAATTAATATATATTGTGTACTATAACTAATGTTTTTGGGAAATCAAACAAAATTTATGATTAATTGATAATTTTATTTTCAAGCAATAACCACTTGTAAAAAACCCACACTTCGTCACAAGAACAATGTAAAATTTTGTGCTTATTTTTTGCAAATATATGATTATTACACACATAAAGTTTGTTTAAATTTATGACATTTACCAAATCATTGCATTTTGGACATTTGTATTCTTCAATATTAAAAATTCTGTCATTCATCAACATTTTTAAAAATTGTTTTTCTGTTGAACCACCTTTGTATGCGATCACTTCGTCTTTGCACAAATTTCCAATATACCAATTTAATATGGGGATGATGTTCTCTTGTTTGTAGGTACATTTTAATTCTTCGGTTACATCAAAATATGGAATGCCGTACACGTGTGTTTCACAATAACGAACAGTTTTTTTGCCTTTTGGTGACAAATAATTGAAAGGATAACTTGGCCGAAACAAATAATGATCGATAAACGCATCATTTTTATTAAATAGTTTTACGTCTAGAATAGCCATTTCTCTACATTGAAAATATTTATGAGGATATGTAATGTAAAATCCGTCCATGTCGATGATGTATCTAATATTTTTTAGATTTTGTGTCATTTTGAACCAAAATATTAAAAGTATTTACACGTGACTAAAAATATGTTTGTTCCAACAAACTTCACATAACAATGCTTCATTACTTCCCATCATCCCATTTCTTCCTTCTGCTCTTGTCTTCCTGTAATTTAAGTAAACATAATCACATTCACTAATGATCAACTAATGACTGTCATTGTTAAAAAAGTATTTTTTAACATTTTTACTTTCTGCTATTGTCTTTGTATTTATGGCTAGGAAATGTCCGCGGCGCGGTCTCACTGCGTGTTGGCGAACTTCACATGCCTTCGAAATTTTATCGGACATGCAGGTTTCCTCACGATGTTTTCCTTCAGCGCCGAGCACGTGGTAAATCAGCACTTAAAATTACAATTAACAATTTAAGTGGTGCCGGCGGGGGTCGAACCCGGGTCGCGTACTGTGAAATTTACAGCTTGCGCTAACCATCTGAGCTACCACGGCTTAATCATATACACACACAATATTTAAATATATTTTGTTAACACTAAATCATACACACGTAAGAAAATAACAGAAAGAAAAGTAAGTTTGTCAATAGAATAAACACGTAAAATTACAATTAAAAATTTAAGTGCTGCCGCCGGGGGTCGAACCCGGGTCGCGTACTGTGAAATTTACAGCTTGCGCTAACCATCTGAGCTACCACGGCTTAATCATATACACACACACACACACACACACACACACACACACCACAATATTTAAATATAATTTGTTAACACTAAATCATACACACGTAAGAAAATAACAGAAAGAAAAGTAAGTTTGTCAATAGAATAAACACTTACATCTGTGGCCTTTGATGGGTTGAAGTAACACGAATATAGTATTGATAGATCCACTGCGGTCAAACGACCATACACTAACTCCATGACTGCAGTGCTTGGTCTTATATAGTACAAGTGAGTAATAATTCTAATCTAAAGAATTTCTGCAGTGGAATTGATAGTAACTTTATGCGTCAACAAGCTTATCTAACATTCTGTTGCTTATCTCAGCATTACTTAGTGTCGTCTTGTTCAGTGTATTGATGACTCAAATACGTTTTGTATAACACAAAATAATGCAATTTAATATTTAGAAATCACTATAATTGATCATTCCTATGTTAGTCATTGAGTAGATTGTACTGTAATAATCTACTAATAGCAGTAATATCATGGATACACTAGATGTACAACAACATCTGAAAAAATTCACCCCAGTCTAGAGAATAATGTTTATGCTGCTAATAGACTGCCCATGTACACCCATGTACCAACTTATATACCTAGTCAGGTCATAAGTATTGTCACACAGTAAAAACTTTTCTTTTAGAATGCTGGCCACAAAAAAGTTTATTGAATTCGAATTTCGAATTGTTCATGAAAATAATAAGAATTTTACTCATTTTTAAATACGGAGTGGACGCTTAAAGAAGACCGTGTTGCAGTTATTGCGTTGCAACGCAACAAATTTTTCAGTATGTCAAAAATTTGAATATAACCAAAAGATTCGTTTATCGTACCATCAAACGTTACAATGAAGACTCTAGTGTAGATGACAGGTCAAAAAGTGGTCGCCCTCGGTCTGTTAGGACTCCAGCGGTGATAAAAGCTGTGAAGGCGCGAATTCAAAGAAATCCTAAACGTAAGCAGAAACTGTTGGCCCTTCAGATGGGGTTAAGCAGAACCACGGTGAAAATGGTGTTAAATGAAGACTTGGGCTGGGGCATTCGAAGAAAAAATTAGCGAGACTGAAGAGATGCCGCGCTTTGTTGAAGCGGTACGCGGGAAAAAAGTATCGGGAAATTCTTTTTTCGGATGAAAAAGTTTTTACCGTAGAAGAGAGCTACAACAAACAAAATGATAAGGTGTACGCACACAGTAGTGAAGAAGCGAGCAACCGTATTCCGCGTGTCCAACGAGGTCATTTTCCATCCTCGCTCATGGTATGGTTGGGAGTTTCTTATTGGGGCTTAACAGAGGTACATTTTTGTGAGAAAGGTGTAAAAACGAATGCAGTGTGTATGTGTGTATCAAAATACAGTCCTGACGAACCTTGTGTAACCTGTTTCTCATACCATGTTCAATAACAGGCACTGGGTATTCCAACAAGATTCGGCGTCAGCTCATAAAGCGAAGAGCACACAGTTGGCTGACGGCGCGTGAAATCGACTTCATCCGACACGAAGACTGGCCCTCCTCCAGTCCAGATTTGCATCCGTTAGATTACAAGATATGGCAACACTTGGAGGAAAAGGCGTGCTCAAAGCCTCATCCCAATTTGGAGTCACTCAAGACATCCTTGATTAAGGCAGCGGCCGATATTGACATGGACCTCGTTCGTGCTGCGATAGACGACTGTCCGCGCAGATTGAAGGCCTGTATTCAAAATCACGGAGGTCATTTTGAATAAACTGTAGTGTCATAAGAATCTATGTTTTGTTATGTTCATTTTGGTATATAAGTGGTTACATAATGAATAAACTTGTTTCAATTACTTTATATTATACATGTAATAGAATTTATGACCTGACTAAGTAATATGCAATTTGGGTACAGATAATAAACCAGGGTCACATTGGGTAGCTTTATATATCGATACGAATGACGTCGGTCAATATTTTGGTTCATACAGACGAGCGCCTGTACGAGAGAATGTAGAATCTAGAGTTTTTAAAAAAGAATTGTAAAAGATGGAACTGGAATGTTGATAGGATTCAGAATGAGTGGACTTCAGTTTGTGGCGAATATTGCTTAATGTATTTACTATATAAGTTTCAGGGATGTTCAATGCATAGTCTTACGAGTATATTTACAGGGAACACATTGTACAACGATATTTTAGTGGATGAGATGTTTCACTCCTATTTAATAGATAATAAGTAATAAGATTTTTGTTTTTTATAAATAAAAATTTTAACAAAATTGGGTAATGTGTTTTATTGATGAGTCAGATTAGTGTAGATAGGAACAAAGGAGTTTAATACAATAGCACCACGCTGAGGAAGAATAGATAATGACGGTATTCAATGAACAATAGATAAGTAGATAAGAACAGTGGAGTGCTAATGACGGTGGAGGTCTTCACCGGATATCAATTAGATATTTTTCATTCATTGATCTGCACATCTCTGGAACCGTGCATCCTACGCAAAAATGGACCGCAGATTCGTGATCAGAGCATGCCAAAACCTTGTTTTTTTTTTTTAGGATCGTGAGTCGACGAACGTCGTACTTGTACCACTTCTGACTCAGTGAGCCAGAACTGGTACAACGTAACTACTGATTTATTAAAAATTATTATTATTATAAGTAAAGAGCCTCATTTACTTAGGGTCTGTATTCATTCTTCTTTTTATATCCTTGTCAAATATAAAATGAATATTTTAATGAAAATTCCTTGACTATCTTGGTTTTATGAGACAAAAATTAGTAGTACAACTGCAAAAAGATTACGCTCAGGAGACTTTCCTTCCAAAAAGTTTGCCCACTTAATGATGAATGCTGTTTCCTCTGACTGTAAATTATGTCGTTCTATTGATGACATTCAGCGTGTGTCAATGGAATCGCCAAGTTAGAAAGAGAAAGAGAATTATTTATGCTAAGTTTTAACATAAATATTATATACGATTTATGAGTTTATTACTGTGTTAATAAAAATTGAGAAACAAACAAACAGTGGTTCACTGTCGGATGTAGCAAAATTTTTAGCTTATGTGATTATAAAACACCAAAAATTCGAGTCCTTCTCAAGTTTTTTTTTTAACTGTGTGTGAGAATAATGTCCACTCAAGTAATAAAGGGAAAGAGAAGACTAAAACGGTTTCAATAACTTTGTCAATGTGTTACAATGATTAATTTGGTTTTGCAAACAATTTTTTGAGACTATTTACGCGCAGGAGTTGCATTACTTAATTTCTTCCTCACCCATTAGCGAACCCACCATCGGAAAACGCTCGGCTAATCTTCAACCCTTTGATTTTAATACGAGTATACCACGCATTTGAAATCAAACCAAACTGTTTCTTTATGTGAAATGCAATGAGTACCTATAAAAGAAACGAATCGTGCCGAGTGTAGAAACGTAATGAGTATATACCGAGTCGGTGTTTAAACGCGAATTATAATATTCAGAATTCTATACTTTGAAAAAAAAAACCATATTTCATATGTGGAATCGATTTATAATCTAGTACATTTTAATTAAAAAAAAAACATATTATGTTGCTGCGTGGCAATACTACGAATATTTACTGAATATAACAAAAAGGTGGTTCAACAATGGGGCTGAAACAGAAAACTGAATACTGTTACAGTGACTGAATTGAATGGCAAAAAGTAAGAAAACAATTCTGAATCGGCAAATAAAATTAAGAGATTCAACAAAGTAAAATAGTATACATGGATTTTTGCATTGTTTATAACATCTAGCTGTTTTTACACTTATACATTACAACATCTAATTCTAAACAACTATCATTTTTATGAATTATGTATCTGTTTGTGAACGACCTATATATTTAAAGTTATAACGTTAACAAAAGTTATCTGCAAATATTCTTCATAATTTGCATCTCTTAAGTCTTTTAAATTATCGAGGTCTTATTGCTTATGCGCGATGTTATAGGTTTTGTCATTTGTCACATTTTTATTCTATTGACGATTAAAATTAGACAAAAGTTAAGAGTCAAGAAGCGAACGCTTTTTTATCATCCCTTTAAAGTCTTAATGTGCTTAAGTAGTAGTACTTATTGGGTTGCAAATATATATTTTAAATTATGTTTTTTTTTTTAGATTTAATTATATATTTCGACACTTGAAAAGTAATAATTATCAAGCGACATGTTGGGGTGATATTGAGTTATATACACCATTGAAATCAGCGAAAAATTTTTGCGTCGATATATCATATACTCGTACCTAACGACTATACAGCCAGTGTAGACGCCTAATGTTTTTGTACTTCTGCATCCAAACGGTACGGGGGAGGCGGGTTGAAATGTACGCTAATTGGTTAAAATCAAGGTTGAGACACTTGCTGATAAGCAAATAGTGATGGGAACTTTAAATAATAAATTTGGTACCAATTCTACTAATCTGTACCAGAATTATATTCTACTATAAATTTGTACAAAATAAAAAATAAACAAAAGAAGTTTTATTTAAGTAGGTATCGTATATAGTAAAATACCTATAATTTTTTTGTTTTAAAGAATATTTTTACTAAAACAAGCTTTCTTTACAATATTGAAATAATAATAGAATACTACTAAAAATAAAATAGCAATAGTTATTTAAACTGTCAAATTCACTCTCGTTTCCTACTCGTCTTGACATGGCGTATTAGCAGTTAAGAGAGCGGAGTGCCGTCTATTAAAAAATATATCAATTTAAAAGTTTGAATAATAATTATTAAATCAATTAATTCAAATATGGATTAACGTACATTCAAAAAATAAATTCAGCTTACACCTATGTCGCTTATAGTATAAGTCTGTAAAGCATTCATGATAACACGCATAATATTTACTTGTACCAATATTATAGTTTAACTGGTACAGCACTAGTTACACGTGCCGGTTTTTAAAAAGCAACAATGAACTGCGTTGAAAAGAAAGGGATGCATAGTCCGAAAATATCCGAAGATGTTCGAATAAATCAACGCGAGTTGCTTGTATCAAATATAGGTTGAGCTCTGACTTGATTTTAATTAATGAATTTGGAAATTAAAATTCACTTATCTATGAACAATGATGCCATTTTTTGCAGTTGAACATTTGGCTACTGTTTTCGCACTATTTTATTGTACAGGGAACCATGTTGCGCATCTGTTGTATTTTATTTTGTCAAAAATTCACAAGTCACATGCAAGATGTTCACGGGTCAGGGAAGTGGTCGCTACTAAAGTGGATCGTGCAATCGTTTTCTCAAGTAAGACGAATTTGTCTGATGTGTTGACAGAAAATGGTTGCCTTGCATGAGGCGTCTATTCGGGCTGTGTAGTCGTTGCTCGTACCGCTAGGAAGTCTTTTGTTGTCGTTTGGTTTCTTAAAAAAAAGTCATATTTTCAAAGTTTTCAGCGACCAAGCGACTAAAAACTTTACCGAATTACGAATAATTTTCAGTTGGTAGGTATTTGATTTTAACTTTAAACACTTATAGTAATTTTACCGTCTAAACATAAAGTATTTTCCTTATATTTTTTTTTCTTATTTAAAACCTAATTGTTTACTAATTTAAAACACCTTAATTATATACTAATTTTCATTTAGTATTTTTTTCCTAGAATGCAATGGACTTAAAAATGTAATATAGTGGTATTTTCCTGCCTAAAAATATATATTTTGTTTTGGTAATATTTTATTTGCCGTGTTTTTTATTACTTAGATAACTATTTCTGTAACAAAATATAGATCAGTCTTAACCGAACTGTCGCATAGGTAACCTAATATACTAAATATACCTAATAAGTTGTAATTAAAACTAAATTGTTAAGACTTGATCTTAATTGTGTTGTTATATTGATAGTTTCATTGACTTATTTTTGCGTTGTACTAAAATATTTTCACTCGTGCTTTTTTGATGTTGGAACATATTTGTAAAGTAACAATATTTTTTGAGATCTTAAATTTGTATCTAAGTAGCCTAAAAACCTATAACTTTTTTAATAAGTTTAAAAAAAATCATCTTAGTTGAAATTGTGTTGTACCTACCTATACTGATTTCGAAATTACTTATTTTAGAAATAGCATTAGCATAATAGTAATTATTTTAGTTTATTTATACAAACTGTTGATTTAAACTATCTTAAATACTCAACGACAGCTCACATTCTTTATAAGATCAGCTACCGCAAGCTATACACTTTGCGAGAGATATTTCTGCGATGTTCGTATGTTTGAGATCTATATAAACGTCGTTAACAAAGGGTTAGTAGCTGGCCTAAGACCTCCACCAACCCGTACTAGAGCAGCGTGGTAATTTATTCTCTAATTCATCCCTCACCACATGGAGGCCCATACTCAGTATTGAGTGATTGTAGATTACTACAAGGGCTGTAATTATGATGATGATGACGATATCCGTCAAAAACTTTTGTCGGAATGTCCTTGAATTTGAGTAGTAAAACCTTAATTCATTGTTTATTGTTCAAAAAAATCCTACATTAACCTTATTTAATTTGTATTATGGTTAAAATTGGCTGACTGAAAAGTCATCGGTTTTTATTTATATCAAATTATCTATATGTCAAACATGCGTTACTTTTTTCTTCAAGCACAATTGTAAAATAATGGGGTGTAGTTAATTTTAATTGTTTTATAATAAAAATTTTAATTTCGATAAGTAACTTTTACTTGTTTGTGATTTTGATGAAATTATTACTAACCGATACTATTTTATAAAATATGAAGA